GCAACCTGGAAACAATAAAAGCAATTGGTAAAAGCCTTGCCTCTCTTGAAAATGGGATGTGTAGGGTGTGTAGGGACTTTTCGTTAGATTAACGGAATTATTTGAGAAACAAAGCCACTGGACGGGGCATGGGTTCCTTTCTCTTTGCAGGGTAAGTCTATTTGGGTTTTTGTATGTTTGTTTATTTATTACACCCTGAGAAGGCCATTAAATATTACTAGACTGAAAGTGCAAATTGGAAGAATAAAATAGTATTTTCAAACATTAGGAAGAGCTTCCTGACCATAAGAGCTGTTCAACAGTGAAACTCTGCCTCAGGGTCTAGTGGAAACTCCCCCTTTCAAAGCTTTTAAACAGAGGCTGGCTGACCATCTGTTGAGAGTGCTTTGATTGTGTATTTCCAGCACGGCAGGCGGTTGAGCTAGATGGCCCTTGTGATTTCTTCCAACCCTGATTCTATCCTGACACTTTTGAGTGCATTTCCACTGTACAATTAATGCAATTTGACACCACTTTAAATGCCATGTGTCTGTACTACCGGATCCTGGAAGTTGTAGTGTGCTAGGCACAAGGACTCTTTGGTAGAGAAGGTAGAAGACCTTGTAAAAAAAACTACAACTCCAAGGATTCTGTAGCATTGAGTCTTGGCAGTTAAAGTGGTATCAAACTATTTTGGGGAACTCCTATTTTAATCCCCTGATAGTATCCCTGGTTCTCTGCATTTACTCCTTTCCCTGCCAATTTTACAGGGTCTTTTGCTCAATTGAAAGCAGAACTGATTCCCTTTCTTTCTACTTTCTCCATGCAGCTTAGCCCTGCTGTGTGTGTTTCTGTCTCAGGAGGTGGCGTCTATACCTTTTCCCACAGGTGAGTATTTTTTTTAGGAGATGTTGTATTTCATATAAGGAAGGAAACTGCGTGGTGTGGCTATCCTTTCTAAAAAAGCATGGCCTTTTAGAGATCATAACCTTTTTAGAAAATGGTATTTATAACCTTTTAGAGAAGAGCCAAAAACCCATTTGAGTAGCATCTTCTCGAGTGTTATGCAACTAAATGCAAAGAAATTGGCTTCAGTTGTTAGACTGAATAACCTGTTGTCTCCGATCTGTTAGGAAAACAGAGAATATGCCCATGCACAAAATAGCAGTGCTTCAGAAGTGTTTTTCAGTTGCCCAAAAATATATCAACTCTCCCACAAAACTTGTTTTATATCATGCACTCAAGAGACAAAAATGAAGTAGACTTTGGTTTAAAAAAATTGTATTTGCTTTACTCACAATTTCATGTATTTATCATGCACAGGTAGATAACTTATCAGTGCAGTTTCAGATATGTTTGAAATAGTTTCTGTGTGCAAATGGCACAGGGCATCTTTCTTACAAGCAACAGCAGGCAAGTATTGGTCTGAACAGTCCCAAAGTCTAATGGAGTCTGAGCAGTCTCAGATTAGATCATGTGATCTGCAGTGCCTCCCACAACCTCTCAGGAAACATAGAGCAAAAGAAGCTGCATATCAGAACATACATACAAAAAGTAAGCAACAGGATTATAGATAAACAAGAGGAAGCTAGAAGAAGGTTGTAATTTCCAACAATCCCTTCCAATTATATTTGCATAGAATGGATGTGAGTTCTGTCTGAGTCACAGAAACATCAACATTGTGGAATGAATGCAGTTTGAAATCACTGGCTCAATGCTATGGAATCCTGGGATTCACAATTTGGTGAGGTACCAAGCATTCTTTGGCAGAGACATGCACAACTATAACTCCCATGACCACATATATTGAAAATGGCCGTTAAAGTGAGGTCAAACTGCACTAATTCTACTGTGTAGATGCACTCTTGGTCAAGTGTCAATTAGTCAATTTATCTCTGACAACATTTGTACCTAGAGCCAAGGTAGCCTATAGCATCCTGCATTTTGCAGTTCAGGCTGAGCTTTTCAGTATCCTATGCAAGAGCACTCCTGTGCCGTCCCAAACTATAAATCCCACGAAACAGAACCATGGCTATTACAATGGAATAACAAGGAGGATTTCATGATACTCAATGTCTGTGCTTGGATCTTTTCTTGAAGGTGTTACACGGACTGAATGTCGAGGCCGTTACTTCTGGATATGGATGGACAAGGCCGCTTTGGGGCAGAGCTCTTGGGCGTATAGTGTCTTCAGTAAGTATGACAATCTCTTTGAAAGGGGATTTCAGGGTTTTGGGGAGGATATATCTAATTTTTCAGCTGCAGGAGGAAATTCATCTGTGTATGTGTATGCTCAGAGGCACTCCAAGATGCATCTATAATGTAGCAATTTGACACCCCTTGAACTAACATGCCTTGATGTTATGCAGTCATAGAAGCTGTAGTTTTACAATGTCTTTAGCCTTCCCTATCCAAAGAGTGCTGATGCCAACCTAACTACAAGTCCCAGGATTCCATAGCATTGAGTCATGGTAACTAATTGGGTTACCTGGGCGAAGACACACTCTCTCGACTGCAAAGGAAATAAAAGGAAAAACCCCTCTGAACAAATCCTGGAAAGAACACCCCATTATTTGAGGTTTAGGTAACCTACTGCCATTTATTTCCCATAGATGAGCTGGGACAGCGCATTCCTGTGACGGACCATGTGGCAGCCCAGTGTGGCTTCACCAAAACCACAGACTTATATGGCAATCCTGAGATCAGAGTGTCCTTTCTGGGCTGCTCGGTTCACAACTTGGTAAAGCTGAGCTTTTCACATTATGTTATTTTGCACTGTTTATTTTACTTGAATGTTTTATTTAGTTTATTGCGATGTTACTTTTGTTGTTCTGTATTTTATTTTGCTGTAAAGTATTGCCGGACTTGGCCTCATGTAAGCCGCTCTGAGTCCCCTCTGGGGAGATGGTGGCGGAGTATAAATAAAGTTTATTATTATTATTATTATTATTTATTATTATTGGAAGGTAAAAAGCAGGCACTCCCCATAAGAGTCTGTATTACCAAACTCCCAAAGAGAGTCCAATGTTAGGTGAATAGCCATGTTTCTCAACGTTCCTAATGCCGTAACCCCTTAATACAGTTCCTCATAGACCCCAACCATAAAATTGTTTTTGTTGCTACTCCATAACTGTACTTTTCCTACCGTTATTAATCATAATGTAAATATCTGATATGCAGGATGTATTTTAATTCACTGGACCAAATTTGGCAGAAATACCTGATACGCCCAATACTGGTGGGGTTGGGGGAGGGGTGTGTGAATTGATTTTGTCATTTGGGAGTTGTAGTTGCTGGGATTTATAGTTCACCTACAATCAAAGAACATTCTGAACTCCAACAATGATGGAATTGAACCAAACTTGACACACAGAACTTCCATGACCAACAGAAAATACTGGAAGGGTTTGATGGGCATTGACCTTGAGTTTTGGAGTTGTAGTTCACCTACATCCAAGCGGCTGGGGGGGGGGGAGGAAAGAGCCTGAGGCTGTTAGGAATGGTAGGAGTGGAAGTTCAAGACACCTGGACGGCTGAAGTTTGCCCATACCTGCTCTAAAACTAACCAAAGTACCATTTTATTTTTGTCCAGTTTGACCAGGATTTCAGCCTCCATCTCCAAGTGGAAGTCACCAGCCCATCCAATGTGACTGCTGCGTATGATGTCTCCATGAAATGTCCTTTGGGTTCTGCATGGAGCCCCCGGGAGATTGTCTGTGAGGAAAATTATATGGAAGTGAGTGGAACAGAGAAGGAAACCACAGACATCACTTCCAACTATCCTGATTAGGCAGGAGCAGTCCTGCTTTACTCCTCTGCCATCCCACTTTTTCAGCTGCTTTTAAAATGTCCCAGTTACTTTCTCCTCCTTAATCCTCGGCATACTGTAGTTACTCGGAGCTGAGTTCAAGATATAAAAGTAGTTTGCACCCAATTACACAGAGAAGGGAGTCTTGCTTTTCCCTGTAGGCTCCGGCAAAAGCAAACCGCTGCAGCCTTACCGTGCTTGTATGTTTTTCCTTATTACCGTATATACTCGAGTATAAGCCTAGCATTTCAGCCCTCTTTTTAGGCTCAAAAAGTTCCCTTCGGCTTATACTCAAGTCAAGGTTATTTATAATTTTATGCTGTTATTATTATTATTATTATTATTATTATTATTATTATTATTATTACATTTATTATTTTACTCTATTATTATTACATTTATTATTTTACTCTATTATTATTACATTTATTATTTTTCTATTATTATTGCTTTATTATTTTACTCTATTTATTTATTCTCATTATTACATTTATTATTTTACTTTATTATTATTATTATTACATTTATTATTTTATTTTATTATTATTATTACATTTATTATTTTACTCTCGATTATTATCGGGAGGATACGTAAGCACATTTATATTGAAGGTTAGAATAATAGTTTAATCAGAGTTGGACAGTTTTATCTTAAAATACAGTTTTATGTAAACATTCAAAAACATTTAATCTACTGATGCTTCAGTTAATGTAATTTTATTGGTATCTATTTTTATTTTGAAATTTACCAGTAGCTGCTACATTTCCCACCCTCGGCTTATACTTGAGTCAATACATTTTCCCAGTTTTTGTGGTAAAATTAGATGTCTCGGTTTATATTCGGGTCAGCTTATACTCAAGTATATACGGTACTAATATTATTGCCCTCTTCACGTCCCAAGCAGGAGTGGAGAACCTAAATCCCTCATAGGAAGAGTTTAAAGCTAATATATGCAAGTATTTACAGTTCTGCCATTGGTCCCTTCCAAAATTACAACTTTCCTAAAAGTCAGCCAGAACCAAAATAATTTCTCCACTCATGACCTGGAGCACAGGTGAGCATAATACTGCCATCCATCTACCACTGCAGCTCCCAGTGTTCTTCATCATTGGATATGCTGACTGGGGTTGTAGTTTTCTTCTTATTTACCCCCTTATGTTCTCAGCATACCTCAGTTGTACAATGTTCAAATGTCTGGCTGCATAATTATTTCAAAATCAGAAGTAAATGTCCCACCTGCCTCTCCCTAAAAGCTCTCCCTATTTTAACTCTCAAAAGCCACTTTTCATTCAATGTGCAAGCCTGAAAATACATATTTGTATGGACATGACTTGTCTGCCATGTTTTTATAGGTTTCTGTTCGGCGTGCAGTCCCAGGAATAGCAAGTGAGGCACTGAATGAAGACTGGATTGCTGTGTTTCCTGTGGTAAGGACTCCAAAATAATGTAGTTTATATAAAGTAAAGGTAAAAGTTTCCCCTTGACATTTAGTCTAGTCGTGTCTGACTCTGGGAGGTGGTCTCATCTCCATTTCTAAGCCGAGGAGCTGGCATTGTCCGTAGACTCCTCCAAGGTTTTGTGGCCAGCATGACTGCATGGAGTGCCGTTATCTTCCTGCCGAACCTAGTCTACTTATTTTTGCATGTTTTCGAACAACTAGTTTGGCAGAAGCTGGGGCTAACAGCAGGAGCTCACCCTGCTTCTCAGATTTGAACAGCCAAACTTTTGGCCAGCAAGTTCAGCAGCTCAGCGGTTTAACCCAGGGGGCTTCATGATTTATATAGTCTTTGTAAAATAAAGAGGGAGAAGGCTTTCACCTGCATTCTTATCTCTGTTCAGAGATCGGAGATAAAAGCATTGTAAAGGCATTTCAGCTATTAACTCTTTAACTATCTTAACATTTCACCTTTAAATGCTGTGCTCATCAAGTATCTAACAATCTTTAAAAGAGTAATATACATTTTAAGACATTTTCAGGTTGCTGCTCTCTTCTCTCAGTGATTGGAAATAAGAGCAGGATGTACTTGCTTAATGCACTTAAAGCCTGCTTGAACAATCCTAATCTGACCAGTTTGAATAAAATGGGCTCCAGGTGAGGAAGGTTGTGTTTTGTTTTACTTGATGCAGGCTCTTCTGATCTAGTGTTGGCAGAAAAACTGATTTATTACACAGAGCTATACAGCTTTCTGGTTACGACTATTAATGCAGTCCTTCAGCTATTTCTCATCTCCAAAAAATGGAAAATCTCCAAGAAAAATAGAGAAGAGGCTGGATTGTATTTAAAGGGAAACCACCCTGTTAATTTGCCAGGTTATATATCGGGCATGGGCAAACTTCTGCCCTCCAGGTGTTTTGGACTTCAACTCTCACAATTCAACTCTCACAAATTGTGAGAGTTGAAGTCCAAAACAGCTAGAAGGGCAATGTCAATCTATATAAATAAAAATGTAATGTTCGTTTGTGGGATTAACATAACTCAAAAACCACTGGAGGAATTGACATGAAATGTGGACACTATACCCCTAACAGGCCAATGAGTGACTATCACTCATAACCCCACCCACCCCCAAAAAACAGTGAAAGGACTTAAAAACCCAAAAAGCTAAAATGAAAGCTAAATGACGATACAGAAAAAAGAGAAGGAAAGAGGGAGGGAAGAAAGAGGAAAGAAAGAAAGAGGGAGAGAAAGAAAGAAGGAAAGGAGAAGGAAGGAAAGAGGTAGAGAAGGAAGAAAAGGAGAAAAAAGGGAAGGAAGAAAGAGAGGAAGGAAGGAAGGAAAGAAGGGAGAGAAAGAGGGAGGGAAGAAGAGAGAAGGAAGGATGGAAGCAAATGAAGGAAGGAAGGAAGGAAGAAGAGAAGAAAGAAGAGAAAAGAAAAAAGGGGGGAAGGAAGGAAAGTAGAGAAGGAAAGGAAGGAGAGAAGGAAAGAAATAAAGAAATAAAGGGAAGGAAGGAAAGAGGGAAAGAAGGAAGGAGGGAAAGAAGGAAAGAAAGTGGGAGGGATGGTTGGCCACAGCAACGTGTGGCGGGTACAGCTAGTGTCTAATATATATGCTATCCTGGTTGCTTTGTGTCTTTCAAACTCCTGTTGAAAAGGTTCAGCTACAAATAGTGATGCCATAGTATGTATTTTAGGAGAGATGAAAAGGTCGGGCTCTCCCCATTCTCACGTCTGGTTATCTTTTGCAGGCTCAGGGGGCTATGAACCAGGTGTGGCAGGTGGTCTTCCATTTCCAGAATGGCTCCTTGCAGAACATGATGGCCACCGAGGCCCATGCCCTTGGCTATGGGGTCAACACCACAGCTAGCAGGGTGCTCTTCCGCACTCCTTATGGCACGCAGCAGACCGAAATCGCTATGGTAAGAAGCATTAGTGGCTGCCAAAATGGGTATTGTAGGTGTTACTCCTCCCATCTTTGCTTTGGTAGGACCCAATTTGGATTGTCACCCTGCACTTGTCAACATGTATTGCCTCAAAGAAGCTTTCTCAGTCTAGATACCAGTTTGATCATGACTTGTGAGACCTGAGCATTTAATCCTTGTCGATAGCAAGTTAAACATGAGCCAACAATGTCACTTGGCAGCAAAAAAGCCAATGGGATTTTGGCTTGCATAAATAGGAGTCTAGTGTCTAGATCCAGGGAAGTCATGCTACCCCTCTATTCTACCTTGGTCAGACCACACCTAGAATCACACTGTGTCCAATTCTGGGCGCCACAATTGAAGGGAGATGTTGACAAGCTGGAAGGTGTCCAGAAAAGGGCAACTAAAAACATCAACGGTGTGGAGAACAAGTCCTGTGAGGAGCAGCTTAAAGAGCTGGGCATGTTTAACCTGCAAAAGAGAAGGCTGAGAGGAGACATGATAGCCATGAATAAATATGTGAGGGGAAGCCATAGGGAGGAGGGAGCAAACTTGTTTTCTGCTGCTCTGGAGACTAGGACACAAAACAATGGCTTCAAATGACAGGGAAAGAAATTCCTCCTGAACATTAGGAAGAACTTCCTGACTGTGAGAGCTGTTCAGCAGTGGAACTCTCTGCCCTGAAGTGTGGTGGAGGCTCCTTCTTTGGATGCTTTTAAACAGAGGCTGGATGGCCATCTGTCAGGGGTGCTTTGAATGCGATTTTCCTGCTTCTTGGCAGGGGGTTGGACTGGATGGCCCTCAAGGTCTCTTCCAACTCAACGATTCTATGATTCTAATCCTTGCATCCTTGTCATGGCTTCTTCCGCAGGTGAAAGGCCTGGAAGTTGAGGTGGCTCGAGCCACCGTCTTCTACAAACAGGCATGGATGATATTGATGGTGGATACTGCAGTTGCCTGTCCCATCAGTAAGTCTCTCTGGTTTCTGAATACCCTCCAACAAATAAAGTCAGCCTGGGTGCCAGTCTTCTGCATGGGGTTTTAGTACGAGATACTCCAAGACATAAAGATCAGTGAGATGTAATACTCTGAGCATAGGGCTATGACTCTGGAGACCAGAATTTGAATCCCCACTTGGCCATGGCAGCCTATGGAGTGACTTTGGACAAGTCACACTCTCTCAGCTTCAAAGGAAGGCAAAGGCAAACCTTCTCTGAAGAAATCACGTCAAGAAACCCTAATGATAGGTTGACCTTACGGTTGCCATAAACAACACAAAAGCAGGGTTGTTGTAGGTTTTTCGGGTTGTATGGCCATGTTCTAGAAGCATTCTCTCCTGACATTTCACCTGCATCTGTGGCACACCTCTGAGGATGCCTGCCACAGATGCAGGCAAAACGTCAGGAGAGAATGCTTCTAGAACATGGCCATACAGCCCGAAAAACCTACAACAACCCAGTGATTCTGGCCATGAAAGCCTTCGACAATACATTGAACACAAAAGCACATAACAACAAGCATGTACTGTTTTCTGACATGTAATATTGTTACTGGAAGGCTCGCCATTTATGTTGCTCTATCTACCACTTTATTCCTTTTTTCTGACTGCTGTAGTCTAGTCTTTGCAGCTTTCAGAAGTAGGATGCATTCACAAAATTATTAGATTCGTCCCTCCATATTTGTGGGTTTAAACATTCATGGATCTAATTATTTGTGGATTGCTCTTTTTGCTCTGCCTCTGCTGCTTCCCTTATATGCAACCCCCCAAAAATATGTTCTCTCTGAAGGATCACTTTTGTTGTAGGGTTTTAAAAAAGCCAAATCTTTTTTTTTTTCTTTGAACCTGCAGTGCAGATAACATGCCAGGCTTCTGTCTCTTTCAGACGCTCCAGTTTTCACAGCCACCACTCTAAGCTGGGTGACCCCACGGATCATGCCTTCACTGGTTGCGTTCCCCAATCTCTATCGGGATGAAGCCATCGAGATGGGCTTGGATGGACGTGTGATTGACAGGGTGACTGTGGCAAGAAACGGATACACCTTTCTGACCGACAGGATAGATTTTATCAGCATCACGGTCCCCATTGGAGCTGTGGGTGGGCTCACAGAGGTCAGTATCTGACAGAATTGCTAGCTGGACAGCCTTGGGGTCTGTTCTAGGAGGATCTTACAATTGCTATCATTTTCTATGGTGGAGTGTCTGCTCTATGTTTTATTCCAAACTTTGAAAGACTCATCCAAACTGTCGAACCTTGTCTCTCAAATTCTGCATACTTTTCCATAGTCAGCTGCAGGTTGCGTCTCAACCAGGGATGCAGTTTTCCCATGGGGAAAATGTAAGCAAAGGAGAATGCCACAGCTGTTACCAGCTTACTTGTCCAAACTGGTATCTTCCTCTATGACCCACCTCATAGATTAAGATCATTGGGGAGGCCCTGCTCTCAGTCCCACCCCACTCACAAGTGCGACTGGTGGGGATGAGAGACAGGGCCTTTTCGGTGGTGGTCCCTTGCCTATGGAACTCCCTCCCCAGTGAAATTAGATCTGCCCCATCCCTCCTGACCTTCAAGAAAAAAACTAAAAACATGGCTTTGGCATCAGGCTTTGGCTAGTAATGGGAATAGTGCAATATGAGACTACAAATTAATATAATGACGACTCGGACTGGCCCTGGAATACGATTTAGATCATGTGATTTCAATTGATGTTTTAATACTATGTTTTTAATGGGTTTGGTTTTAACATTTTTGTTTATTTACCGATGTATCAATATATGGTATTGAATTGTTGTCTTTGTAAGGCCACCCTGAGTCCCCTTCGGGGTTAAGAAGGGCAGGATATAAATGTGGCAAATAAATAAATAATTAAATTGTTGTCTCAATACAGTATTTTGAATCCATCCCTCACTTTTCTTCTTCTCCTTTTTTTGTTTCTCAGAGTGATGTGATGGACAACTATTATGGCACAACCTACAGCATCAGGCTGATGTTAGACCGTAAATGGCAAGGAGATGAGAGTGATCGGACTCGCCACCGCAGCCTGAAGCTCATTCGCACACCCTTTGCCCTTCAGATGCTGGTCCTGATCAACAGTAAGCTTCATGCTTTGTATTTATGTTTCCAGAAAGAAATTCACACCATCCTTTCTACTGGGAATGGGTACCATGCACTGAACACACACACACACACACACACATTCTTCTAGAAGCTGAGACTATAGTTCTGTTGGCTTCTTCCAGAAATTATTGGACTGTACTTACCATCAATCCAACCACCTTGTCCTGTTTAGGGCTTGTGGGGGTTGCAATGACGCAGTATGCAAAGGTTGCTCATTCTTGCTTGTAAGATGGATGCATTTGCCTTGGAGGAAGACCTTAAATGTCTGTCTCTTGTCTTCCAGATACAATCCCAGAGAAGGGCTATTTTGATATCAGCCTGGGCAACTTTCTCCCTGATGTGGAGCTGACCTCTGTTGGCATTGGTGGCATGCCCTTAACGCCCAATGATCTCAACATGCGTGGCTGCCATCTGGATGAAAGGCCCAATCCCAATAATACCCGGGTTTTAATTCTCCAGGTCCCTTTCACTGATCCTCTGGTAGAACAGAAGGTGAGAGTGGAAATGATATTAACCTCTCCCCACCCCACTGGTTTGTAAGCATATAATATCTCTTGCCTGTGTTAGGTTACTTTTTGGTTAACAAGGATGTGATTAAGTTACATGTCCAAAGCAATGTAGCAAGGAAGGCTTGGATTGCACAGAAAGATTGGGAGCCAAAAGTTTCTCTTTTCTTTGTTACCATTATTGGGTTTGTGCAGCTGAGCAGCCCTTAAAATTATAGAAGGGGGAGGTCTGAAACAGGGCCGTAGCCAGAAAATTTTTTTGGGAGGGGTTGAAATTTTCGGGGGGGGGGGGTTGAAAATTTCACAGGGGGGGTTGAAACCTGCCTCCTAGCTCACGCTGAAGCAAAGAGCACAGCAGGGGGCAGAGCAGCCTTCAATATCCTGCAGCTCCGCCCTTGTCAACCACCTCCACCAAGTCTGGCCTCCTTAATGAGAGCATTCAACATCCCCCCCCCCAACTTGGTTGCTTCACTACTGTTCTGTCGTGCGCTGGGCCTGTAAATAATTGTCTTTAGAACAGGATGTGCAACCTTTGCCCAGCGGGAAGCCAGGGGGCCTAAAGAGAAGTTCTCAGAGGTTTCCACCACAAACAGTCTTTAGATGGCTTGAGAAGTACAACAAAGTCTTTTATTAATGAACAATCAAACAGAAACTTCTCTTGTCTTCAGTAAAGTTAAGCAAATGATTCCAAGCTTTTAGGCAACTGGTGAATTCCTAATCTTGCCCACGAAGAACAGGCAACTGTCTTCAATAACTTCTTCTTTAAAGGAAAATCCCCTTTTTAACTTCTCCCAGGCTGACTGTAATCTAACCCTTACTGATGTGGGCTCCGCTACCGGGTCGAACTGCGTCTCGAACGCCGAGTGGACCTACCAGCAAGGCAATAGATGTTCTCCAGCTGGAGTTCTTTGGTCTTTAGGGCTGTTTTCCTGGAAATTCTTTGGAGACTCTTAAGACCTTTCTCCCCCGGAAGGTCTTAAGGGTTGAAGCTTTTGTACAGGGGAAGCTTGCACACATCCTATACATAAGCTTACCTTGCTGAGACTAACTAAAAATGGCTCCCTTCCCTTCCCAATTGCCCTGAGCAAGGGGCGGGACCAAAACTTAACAATGATGGACAGGTGATTTGCCCTATGACTGCAACCAAAGAAGCCACCTATCTGCAGAGTCCCTGAAACCTTGGACTGCAAGCAAACATTTAATACAAAGCAAATAAAGTTGGAGCTCCTGGTACAGCTGTACCAGAACAACTACATCGGCTATTGCTGCAAGTAATGACAGTGTGAATAAATTGCCAATATTTGCTTGAGATAGTGCTTGCAGTTCTGGAGGGACTCTTGATTTTTTGCATCTCATAGACTTAGCATGGGGATTTGGTTAACCAGTTAAAATTCATGAGTAAACCAGGTTTTTTTAAAAAAAATCTGAAACATTTCGGGGGGGGGTTGAACCCCTAAACCCCCCCCCTCGCTACGGGCCTGGTTCCTACTGAAGTCATCTCATCCAGCATCTGCCTATGGAGGAAACGGCAGCTTCAACTCCTTGTCAAATTGCACATCTGAGCTCTGTTTAAATGTTTTCAATAAGGTAGAGCACAACCACTGCCTTCTGAGATTGTCCATTCTACAGTCAAAAAGCCCTTATGTGTGTGTGCCTTCAAGACACCTAGAATCATAGAATCAAAGAGTTGGAAGAGACCTCATGGGCCATTATCCAGTCCAACCCCATTCTGCCAAGAAGCAGGAATATTGCATTCAAAGCACCCCTGACAGATGGCCATCCAGCCTCTGTTTCAAAAGCTTCCAAAGAAGGAGCCTCCACCACACTCCGGGGCAGAGAGTTCCACTGCTGAACGGCTCTCACAGTCAGGAAGTTCTTCCTCATGTTCAGATGGAATCTCCTTTCTTGTAGTTTGAAGCCATTGTTCCTTGTCCTAAGGTTTTCTTAGGCAAGGAATTATTAGAAGTGATTTTTTTCAGTCCTTTCTTCTGAAATATAACTTGAGTCATGGTGTTTGTTGGTAGTTAGCCATCTCATCTAACCATTAGAAAATTCCTCCAGGTGTTTACCTGGGAGCTACTTCCTTATAATCTCTTGATTGGGTTGCTGCAAGTTTTCTGGGCTGTATGTCCATGTTCCAGAAGCACACTCTCCTGATGTTTCATCTACATCTATGGCAAGCATAGATTTGAAGCTGCAAGGCCATTCAGTGCTAATCAAGGTGGCCAATTGCAACATTCATGCTTGTCTCAAGCCAACAAGAATCCTTTCTCCCACCCTGGTCATTCCACAGATATATAAACCCTCACTTGCCTAGTTTCAATAGACCTCACTACCTCTGAGGATGCTTGCCATAGATGCAGGCGAAACGTCAGGAGAGAATGCCTCTAGAACATGGCCATATAGCCCAGAAAAAACTAGAACAACCCAATCAAAAGATTACAAGAAAGTAGCTTCTAGGTAAACACTTAGAGGAATTTTCGAATGGTTAGAGGAGATGGCTAACTAGCAACAAAGACCATTGGAACATGGCCATACAGCCTGGAAAACTCACAGCAGCCCAGTGATTCCGGCCATGAGAGCCTTCAACAACACAATCTCTTGATTCTTTTGGTCAGTATCTATATGGCAACATCCGGAGGTACACTGTTCGCCTTGACTACGTCCTCAACCTGGTCCCCAAGGACAAGCTGTTCACTTACCCTGCGGTCATTGAATGTGATGTCCCAGATGTTGGTAAGTTTTATGACAGGTAGAGGAGAATGAGAGCTATAAGTGGAAATGGCTTCTAAACATGTATCAAAACACAATGTAATATTTGCCCCCCTTCTTGTCTTTTGCTAACACCATTAGTTCTTCCAACCTTTGAGGGCTTTTGCGAGACAGGAAGGATTGGTCTGGTGATGACTCATGGAAATTTGAACCGTTACTGGGTCTCATATGTGGGCAACCAGAAACTGACCAGTGAATTAATTGTGTCACAAAACTACACTGTCCAAGATGACGGCAAGTACTTCTACCTGTCAGTGCCCTTCTTGGCAGTTGGCTTGTCATATCAGGTAGGTGTGGAAAAGCCTGCAACTATTTTGTTCTTAGGTCAAGTGTGAAAATCTTCCTGTCTATGTAAATGTATGTCTGTTCCAGGATATTTCTCTCCAAGGGCTGACGACTCAACTTGATTTCAGCCTGCGGGACAACAAGACGCTGGCGATAAATGTAGCATTCTCCTTTGCTTGCATTTTCCCCACAGGAAAACTGCTTGGTGAGTGAAGTGACAAAGACATATCAAGATGCTGAAGTGTTATATTTATTATGGTAGTTGAATAGCCTTGTGTATTTCTGCCTGTAAATACTCAAAGTCCTCTTTCTAAGCAAAGCATCCATAGACATTCCTCGGGTGCTATATACAAATAATGAACTTTATAGTGGGTTGTTGTAGGTTTTTTCGGGCTATATGGTCATGTTCTAGAGGCATTCTCTCCTGACGTTTCACCTGCATCTATGGCAAGGTAGTGAGATCTGTTGGAACTAGGGAAAAGGGTTTATATATCTGTGGAATGACCAGGGTGGGACAAAGGACTCTTGTCTGCTGGAGCTAGGTGTGAATGTTTCAACTGACCACCTTGATTAGCATATAATGGCCTGACAGTGCCTGGAGAAATCTTTTGTTGAGAGGACACAGCATTTTATTTGAGAACAGAAATGCTGGACCACTCTCACAACCACCATGTCAGACTACACAGAGAAGCCATTGAAATCCACAAGCATGTGGACAATTTCAACAGAAAGGAGAAAACCATGAAAATGAACAAAATCTGGCTACCAGTATTAAAAAAAACTCTAAAATTACAACAGCAAAACAACAGAGGGAAAACAATCAGGGACATCTAATCACCTCTCAACAAAAGATTGCTCCAGGCACTGCCAGGCCATCAAATGCTAATCAAGGTGGTCAGTTGAAACATTCACACCTAGCTCCAGCAGACAAGAGTCCTTTGTCCCACCCTGGTCATTCCACAGATATATAAACCCTTTTTCCTAGTTCCAACAGACCTCACTACCTCTGAGGATGCTTGCCATAGATGCAGGCGAAACATCAGGAGATAATGCCTCTAGAACATTGCCATATAGCCCGAAAAAACCTACAAAAACCTTGTGATTCTGGCCATGAAAGCTTTCGACAATACATTGAACTTTATATTCTTTGTATAGTCTTTTGAAGAAAGCTTGGATGTGATATTGAAGATTAAGCAGGCTTGTTTTCTGCTGCTTTGGGATGGGCGACATGCAACCAGATGGCAATATGTCTGAAAGGCTTTCTTTTTGGATGCAGTGTGCCTCCCCAATGGAACCATGGCTGCCACAATCCTCAGCCTCGACACCAAACCATCCTTGAACCCTAGGAATACCCACCTGAGAGACAGGAACTGTGGGCCAGTTGCAGCTGATGAATCCAGGGCTCTCTTCTCTTTTTCTGTAGCCTCTTGTGGCACCACAAGAACAGTAAGTTGAAGTTCCAAGGATGTAAGATTTTAGTCTGAATTATCCAAAATTCTGAGTGAGATGATGAATTCATTCTGTGGTCTACTCTGAACCATTCAACCTGTTATTCCCACCCAGCCCATATGGACAACAGTCTGGTGTGATAAAGTCCTTAGAAAGTTGGGAAAGTGTTGGGTGAGTGAGCTTACTAACAAAAGACCCTCCCCATAAATGTGTAGCAGAGTAACTTATTAGCAGCAGTGACCCAGCACCAGTAGCCCAGAGTGAGAAAAAGAACAAAAACACACAGACTAATGTTATCTCTTCCATTGGAGGTTTTTCTTTGCAGTAGAATAATATGATTGCACTATTTACAATAACGAGGTTTCCATAACACAAATAAAATTATATTTCCTTCTTTGCTTCCACGCTTAGGCTTCTTTCACATGCAGAGAAACAGCTTTGCTCTCACAGAGTTTCCTCTCACACCGGAGTTACACAGGAGCTTCACACAGTAGCTTTTTACACACAGCAGCCTTCACTCTTATACACAATGGCCTTCAACCTGGGGCTTCTCTCAAAAGCTTCTCACACCAGGCCTACTAACACTGAGGCCTACCTCACAGTGAGGCCTTTCTCCGGCTGAGGCCTTCTCACACTGAGGGCTCTCTCTCAGACTGACTAGCATTGACTTTCTCACACTGAGGTGAACTAGCACTGAGGCCTACTCATACTGAGGGCAACTAACACACTGAGGCCCTTCTCCCACAAAGACTTCTCTCAGACTGAGGGCTACCTCAGACTGAGGGCTACCTCAGACTGAGGGCTACCTCAGACTGAGGGCTACCTCAGACTGAGGGCTACCTCAGACTGAGGGCTACCTCAGACTGAGGGCTACCTCAGACTGAGGGCTACCTCAGACTGAGGGCTATTAAGCTACACCTGCTTATATTGAACTGCAGCTTTTGCTGAGTCATTGTATCCATTTAACCCTTTCAGTGTTTGATTGAAATATTTGTAATTAAAATACCTAGTTAATTTTTAATATTTCTGGCAGAAAGGAATGTGGATATCATCAACCAGTCCTATATTGGGAATGTGGAGAATAGGGCAAACAACTTAGCGTACATTCTACACTGTAGAATTAATGCAGTTTACACCTTTTTGCCTTGGCTCAATGCTACGAAATTATAGGATTTGTAGTTTGACAAGGTCTTCAGCCTTTTCTGACAAAGAGTGCTGGTGTATCACCAAACTACAAATCCTAGGATTCTATAGTCTTGAGCCATTGCAAAGTGATGTTAAATTGCATTAATTTTACTGTCTAAACCAGGCATGAGCAAACTTTGGCCCTCAGGTGTTTTGGACTTCAACACCCACAATTCCTAACAGCCAGTAGGCTGTTATGAATTGTGGGAGTTGAAGTCCAAAACACATGGAAGGCCGAAGTTTGCCCATGCCTGGGCTAAACATACACTTAGTCTTTCTCAGCTTGGTCAATGAGAGCTAAACCTTCCTTTGATCTTCTTTCTCACCCTCCTAAAGTTTGAAGGCAACTACTTGGTGTATGAGAACGAAGTGACCTTCAGGAGGGAGATGATTCCAGATGCGAAACCAGTCATCACCAGGGACTCCCAGTACAGGTGAAGCTTTTGAGAACCTTCGAACTGGGATGACCCTTTTGGTTGCTGATGACTTGAGAAGACGACTTCCAAAGATGGCTCTTGTAGGTCACTGTTTTTGATTTCCTCCTAGCCTGACATTGCGCTGTCACTACCCCCTGAATGAGACACTTCAAGTGGTGGCCCAACGACTGCAAGGGGAGATTGGAACCCCTGCTCCATATGTCCTTGGGGTCAAAGGTAATGCTGGGATGGGCTCCCCACCCAAGAGTTTAGCTTTTGGGAGACTACCAGTCCCACAAATTAAGCCATTGGCCTATGCTTAAATTGAAATGTTCCTCTTGTGGGAGACCACCAAGTCAAGAGAAAGGGGAGAAAGAAAATGGAAGACATTGTATTTCTTGTAGAAGTGAACATTTGATTCTTATTCATCAAGTTGATCTTGATTTATAGTGACCTTATGACTAAAAGATCTTCAGAGTGGTGGCTTCCTTAACTAGAATCATAGAATCAAAGAATCATAGAGTTGGAAGAGACCTCATGGGCCATCCAGTTCAACCCCCTGCCAAGAAGCAGGAATATTGCATTCAAATCACCCCTGACAGATGGCCATCCAGCCTCTGTTTAAAAGCTTCCAAAGAAGGAGCCTCCACCACACTGAATCAATCTACTTATAAAGCTACATTATCCATTACTTTCTTATGGGTTTTTCATTGTAGGATATCAGCAGAAGAGATCGGCAGATCATCAAAATGTGTCCCAGCCAAGAGTAGCTTATTTGTCAACAGGTATGGTCTGGTACATCCCCGCCTCCCCCCAAATACAATTTTGGCAGGGCAGCTCTGTCAGGCTTTGTGCTTCCAACAACCAGAAATGGGACTGCCTGTGTTGAGGATGATGGGAGTGGGAATAGTCTAGCACTTTAGGGTGGAATGTCAAGTCCTCTTTCCTTCATCAACTTGAAGTTGGTACTTGCTCCAGGTTGAACTCCAATATCCACATGAAAGTTGCCACTAGACTACAATGCCAATAATGCCCATTTATTTTCCAAGCTGCTGGGGCTGATGGGAGCTAGGGTTGATGGGACCTGTTACAAGTATCACTGTGGATCCTATATCCTTTACAGGAAGTACTGAGAAATAAGGCAACCTGGGAAAATGTATTCTTAAACTAGAGCTAGAAAAAGTGACTTGTATTGTCGAAGGTTTCATGGCCGGAATCACTGGGTTGTTGTAGGTTTTTCCAGGTTATATGGCCATGTTCTAGAGGCATTTTCTCCTGACATTTCATCTGCATCTATGCATCTGGCTACCAATATTAAAAAACTCTAAAATTACAACAGCAAAACAACAGAGAGTAAACAATCAGGCACATCTAATCACCTCTCAACAAAAGATTGCCCCAGGCACTGCCAAGCCATCAAATGCTAATTAAGGTGGTCAGTTGAAACATTCACACCTAGCTCCAGCAGACAAGAGTCCTTTGTCCCACCCTGGTCATTCCACAGATATATAAACCCATTTTCCTACTTCCAACAGACCTCACTACCTCTGAGGATGCTTGCCATAGATGCAGGCGAAATGTCAGGAGAAAATGCCTCTAGAACATGGCCATATAACCCGGAAAAACCTACAATAACCCAAAAAGTGACTTGTTTGGACTTCAGCACCCAAAATTCTTAGCTCACCATGCCAGTGATCAATATGGTGCTTTGAGGCTTCTGAAAATTATAGTCCCAATTAGTTAACTTTTCCCAACATGATGCAAAGAGATTAAACTCACTGGTTGTCCCTGAGTAAAGTGTGTTGCCAGCCTTGACCTACTTCACAGGATTGTTGTGAGGGTTACAAGGGAACGGAGGAGGAGAGCTGTGGGTGCCACTTTTTAAAAACTCTATGATAAAATGGTATTCCATCAGTGTCACTCATAAATAAATATACATTTACTCTTTTGCAGGAGGAGCTGGGAAAAGGTGGCTCTGGTTTCCAGCTTTTGGAGTGGCTTTAGTGGTAGGAGGATTCCTGCCTATTACATTCCTGGGTTGTTAAGCAAATTAAAAAAAATGTAACCTTCAACTATCTTCTGTTTCTAACTTCATTTGAGGATTCAATGAGTTGAAAGTTTGTCAGAGTCAACAGTCCTGGTGCTTCCATACTGAAAAATAATCTGTTTTTACAGCATTCTCTTGGCAAGAAAACTCCATGATAGCTTTCTTTTAAGCTGCCATACATTGAAGGCAACTTGGGCAGACAACTATACCCAGTAATTGAAATTACAAGAACACAAAATGAGGAAATCATTTAAAAATGAACAAAATCTGGCTACCAGTATTTAAAAAATCCATAATCAGTTCAGTACATAAAGAGCAACACTATTTACTCAAAAAACAGAGGAATTCCAGACAAGAATCAATTAGGGGCAGTTAATACCTCTTAACAAAGGATGGAAGCAACCAGCCAGGATTTGAAGCTGCAAGGCCATTCAATGCTAATCAAGCTGGCAACATTCACACTTGCCTCAAGCAGTTGAGAGTTCTTCCTCCCACTCTGGACATTCCACAGGTACGTGGGTTGCTGTGAATTTTCTGGACTGTATGGCCATGTTCCAGAAGCATTCTCTCCTGACATTTCACCTGCATCTATGGCAGGCATCCTCAGAGGTTGTGAGGTCACCTGCCATAGATGTGGGCAAAACATCAGGAGAGAATGCTTCAGGGACATGGCCATACAGTCTGGAAACACAGCAACCCAACATAATGAATGATTGTACAACTCTGATGCCTCATTAATAAAATTCTACAGGTTGGGCATGACAAATCATTAACTCCTAGTCCCATTAATCCCCTGCCTGTTGCAGTTCCCAGGCTTATCAGGAGATTCTGGAACACAAAGGCAAAAAGCCCAACTTTTCCAAACTCTACATCACTCCAATATCCTGCCCAACCACTCCTCCTTGTTATAAGCATTGTGTCCCCAAATTGTTACACATTTGTTCATCATCGCAATCCTTGAGCTCTTTGGCTTTGGAAGTCTTCCAGTTGGAGAGTGCTTACTTGGTCATTGTAGGATGGTGTAATGTGTTCGAGTTTCCCCACAGCCTCTCGGCCTTGACCCAAGAGGTTTTTTTTTTGCTCTTCTGACGTGGAATGAGAGCTGCGAAAGGGGTGGCTAAACATTGTGCCACTGGCTTTGCTGGGAAATCTTTTTTGTGCCCACCTTTTTTGCTGTTACATGCTGCCAAGTCAGCTTTGCCTTATGCTCCTTATAAATGGGAAATCTCTCAAAAACCCCATCATTAAGGGCTCTGCTTAGGTCTTGCAAAGTCAGCCCTATGGTGCTCTTTTTGAATCAACTCATTTATGAGGTGGTCTTCCACTCTTTCATGCCTGTGTATGCTATGGTTAGACCAGTGTTTCTCAACCTGGGGGTCGGGACCCCTGAGGGGATCATGAGGGAGTGTCAGAGGGGTCGCCAAAGACCATAAGAAAATACTGTATTTTCTGATGGTCATGGGGATTCCATGTGGGACGTTTGGGCCAATTCTATCGTTGGAGTTCAGAGTGTTCTTTGATTGTAATGGACTATAAATCCCAGCAACTACAACTCCCAAATGTCAAGACCTATTTTCCCCAGACTCCACCAGTGTTCACATTTGGGCATATTGAATATTCGTGTCAAGTGTGGTCCAGATCCACCATTGCATGAGTCCACAGTGCTCTTTGGATATAGGTGAACTACAACTCCCAAACTCAAGGTCAATGTCCACCAAACCCTTCCAGTGTTTTCCATTGGTCATGGGAGCCAAGTTTGGTTCAAATCTATCACTGGTGGAGTTCAGAATGCTCTTTGTATATAAATGAACTATAAATCCCAGCAACTACAACTCCCAAATTACAAAATCAGTCCTCCCCCAATTCCACTAGCATTAACATTTCGGTGTATTGGGTATTTGTGCCCAGTTAGGTCCAGTGAATGAATGATTTATAACAGTAGTAAAATGACTGTTCTGAAGTAGCAACGAAAACAATATTATGGTTGGGGGTCACCACAAAATGAGGGACTGTATTAAGGGGTCACGGCATTAGGAAGGTTGAGAACCACTGGGTTAGACTGATTTAATGGTCTCTCTTCTTTGAGTTCTTAGGAGCTGTAGTTTGGAGGAGAGCACTGTTAGGATTGCTGAATTAGATCTGGATCATTCGCCCTACAGTTCTAATATTTAATAGACCACGGAGAAGAAGGAGATGTAGTATGATCCTTGTATCCACCAGACCAATCTCTGTGGTTTCATTTTTCCATGTCTGACAAAATATTTATTTATTATTTACTGTATTTGTATACCGCCTTTCTCAGCCAATTGGTAACAAATCAGTATACATAAAAGATAACAGACAAAAAAAATTGAGCAGTATAAGACATCATAAAAACAATAAAAGCGACATCATCAACATCTCATTATTCTCAAGCATTGTCCAATTCCATTGTATTCCATTGTATATATCCTCTCTAGGTCTTCCAGTTCAACTATATGGTCATTTATTTATCGTTTTGGAAGCGAATTGAGGGTACAGTTGTAATGTAATTAAAAACACAAACAAAGTTAAAAACTTGGCATTATACTAAATGTCCTTTGACCAGAAGCTGACCACTTGGAGTGCCTCTGGTGTTGCTATAAGAAGGTCCTCCATTGTGCATGTGGCACGGCTCAGACAGCATTGTAGTAGATAGTCTGTGGTTTGCTTTTCTCCACATTTTCTTGTCGTGGACTCCACTTTGTGGCCCCATTTCTTAAGGTTGCCTCTCTGCATCTCATGGTGCCAGAGCGCAGTCTGTTCAGCGTCTTCCAAGTCGCCCAGTCTTCTGTGTGCCCACGAAGAAGTCTCTCATTCAGTATCAGCCATGGATTGAGGTTCTGCCACTTTTGGACTCTCACTTGCTGAGGTGTTCCTGTGAGTATCTCTGTAGTTCTTAGAAAGCTATTTCTTGATTTAAGGAATTGGCATGCTGGCTGATATCCAAACAGGGGAAGGGCCGGAGATGTCACGGCCTTCATCCTTTCATTATTGGTTACTACTTCCCGGTGGATGTCAGGTGGTACAATATCAGCTAAACAGGATGATTTCTCCAGTAGTGTGGGACCCACACCAACTACAATAGAGCCTCGCTTATCCAACTTTAGCTCATCCAACATTCTGTATTATCCAATGCAGTCTGCCTCTTACCTGGGTCCACAGCTGTTTCAATCCATTGCAATGTTTTGGTGCTAAATTACTAAATAAATTAATTACTACATATGTTACTGTGTATTGAACTGCTTTTTCTGTCAATTTGACGTTTAATAGGCTTTTCCTTAATCCCTCCTTATTATCCAACATTTTCGCTTATCCAACATTCTGCCAGCTCATTTGTTGGATAAGTGAGACTCTACTGTATATGATATTTTTAACCAGAAGTCCTTCATTTCAATAGGGGTTATTGTGGATAAAGGGATTGCACTGTAAAACTTCAAGTGGGACAAATGTACCTTTCCTCCCTCACATGTCAAACCCCAAATTTAAGTCTCAGCCATTTTCTGCAAAAAAGAGCAAATTCTTACTCATTTTAGGGCCAGGCTTTAGCACAGCTGGTTAATCACCAGCAGCAATAGATCTTACCAATCGAAAGGTTAGCAGTCCGAAACCCAGATCAGGGTGAGCACTCTAACTTTCAGCCCAACTTGTCCATCCAAGCAGTTCTGTAAGCTGTGAGTAGGGAAATTAGGCACTGCTTAAGCCGGGGGGGGGGGGGGGGGGGCGGTATTTCACGGCACATAAAAAGGAAAAATGAGAAAATGCCGGTGATCAAAGGAAGGAGAAAGTCTGTGACAAGGCTTCTCATCGTAGAGGATGGAGTGATAGCATCCCCTGTGGCTGGAATTGAACACAACCCCCAGGATGCTGAAGTTGGGGAAAATGCTGACATATACCTCTATCTGTTGTCTTTCCTTTTTATTTAATGGTATTGAATGTTTGCCGTGTATCTTTCTATGATTCTCCCTGACTCCCCTTGAGGGTGAAAAGGGCGGAATATAAATGCTCTATATAAATAATAAATAGTACTTCCTGACGCCCTCGGTAGCCTCGGAGACGGCGTGCTTGGCCAGCACCCTGGGAAGCAGGAGGCGGACGGCAGTCTGGATCTCGCAAGAAGTGATGGTGGAGCGCTTGTTGTAGTGTGCCAGGTGGGAGGCCTCACTGGCGATGCACTTGAAGATGTCGTAGACCAGTAGTTCTCATCCTGTGGGTCCCCAGGTGTTTTGGCCTACAACTCCCAGAAATCCCAGTCAGTTTACCAGCTGTCAGGATTTCTGGGAGCTGAAGGCCAAAACATCTGGGGACCCACAGGTTGAGAACTATTGTTGTAGACAAAGGAGTTCATTATGCTCATAGCCTTGGAGGAGATCCCAGTGTCCTGATGGACCTGCTTCAGCACCTTGTAGACATAGATGGAGTCCTAAAGCTCACTTGATAGAGAATTCCAATTAGCCTCCATTCCTGGCAAATCTTGAGAATCAATAGGATGTTGCCACAGCAGTTAATGTGGAATTACAGTACAATTACATCATTTGGAAGGATCCCCAGACATTTGGAGTCAAGTTTTCAGACCAGAGTGGATTGTGACAAGATTTTGAAAGATGGCATGGAGCATTAAACCCAATCCTCATAAAACACTCTTTCCAAAGACTGATTCATTTCGACAGTGTAAATGTGACATAAACCATTTTAAACCTGATGAGAGGGATGAGATTTCTCAAGAGTTGAATAAACATGCATCTTTGTGAAACGCATGGCGAAATCCACATTTTGGCTTCTATTGGACTTTGAACGTGACCCACACCACTCTCTATTAAAAATCTATGATTTTGGTTGCATGTTATGATCAGGACTCGCTAGATGAGTCATGGGCCAACTTGAGCCCGCTTAAGCGGCTGAGGGGGCAAAGGAAGGGGCCTGAGGCTGTTAGGAATGGTGGGAGTTGAAGTCCAAAACACTCGGAGGGCGCAAGTTGGTCCATGACTCATCTAGATGTTGTTGAAC